AAAAATTCTGGTTCCATTGACTTACATTGAAAGTAAAGTAGGTTTTTTCCGTCTCCTGTAAAGTTACCATTTTGGAGATACGAGGTAAATAGACTCCACTAGTCATCTGCTTTCTCTGCTCCCAGGACTACAGCAACTTCATAACCATCTCCCTATACTGTAATAAGTAATGCATTGAATTTAATTCATTTCAGTCTGCACATCATTCTGTCTTTCCGTTTACTTTACTTTTGCCAATACCTGTGTTGACGGCAATTCAATGCATCACTTTTTGAAGTGTGTTTCATTCATCCGGCCCACTATTCCTCTTTCCGCTGCACAATCCACCCACTCCATCCTCTAACTCCCCTCCCTGTTTGTAAATACTCAACCTGTGTGTCCAGAGGACATGTCTGAAAGCACTGGGCGTCTGAAATGAACAGCTTTGTCCACTTAAAACAGGCATCTCATTATGCTCTCATTTTATCTCCATGTGAATGCAGTAGTTAAACTGAGGACGTGCATTGAATATACTTGCACATAATTTCCGTATGAATAAAATAGATTACATCACGGTTTTGTCTTTCACTTCACTTATTTTGGCAACACTTGCGTTAATGTAGTGCGTTATATTCAATGCTGGAAATGCGGTACACATTTGCAGTACTTTTTGAAGTGCATGCTGGATCAATTTCATTAGGGAAAGCAGCCAAATTCATGACACCACTGATTGAGATCACAAGCACTCAAAAGATACATAAAAAAGCAGACGCAGACATCACCAGATCATGATCCCTGCTATGGCTAAAGCACCACAAACGCCTGAAATCCAGCCCAGACCATTCAAACAGACAAAACGCCATGGAACCACAACAGCACATTGCAACTGCGTTCAAAGGACGCATGCAGCAAAAGAAAACGACGCAGGTAAAGCTAATGCCAGCAATGAGGAGCAGAAAAGATGACGATGACGATGATGATGATGATGATGATATAATCCATTCGTGAAGCTGTCAGAGAAGTAAACAGTCTCATTTCCCATAGGCCAGAATCCATGTGGTCCTCAAAGTCTAGGTGAGACTGCAGCACTGCTGCCGCTCTTATACAGACCCACCAAAGTTCCACCTTCCAGCTCCATTCTCTAAGCCCCGCCTCCAGAGGCCCCCAGCCCTAAATGAGTCTCCAGCACTTTCCCGCCTTCGACTCTTTTACTTCTTTCCACTCCACCCCCCCGAATCAAAACACAACCCGAGTGACGCACTCTCCCCTCTCCTCCCTCCAGACGGACGATTCCCCAAACTTACACAACTCTTCCCATCCCTCTCGCCCAGTCACTCGCTCCCTCCGTGGCTGCTGTTGTGCAATAGGACAGATTCCTGAGACGGAGAGTCACGACCCTGTTGTAAAACTTACTGGCAAAGAAGTTCTCTTCTCCTCTCCTTTCTCTCCACCAGTTCTTTCGCTCTTATCAAAACCATGTGTTTGTGTGCAGAAGGACCGCCGTGCCGCAGAGGAGAAGAAAAGGCAGGCAAACAAAAAGCAGAGACAGGCTTGTGGGAAGGATGAGGTGAAAGAACAAAACAGTCAGATAAAAAAGAGAAGATTCCAAAAGAGCAGCACCGACACCAACTAACAGCACCGAAAGCACTTTCCACGTAGAAACAGATGAACAAGAAATGAACCAAAGATAAGCACAGGGGCGACAGTAAAGCAGAGTGATGATGGTTTGTTTCCATAAAAAACAAACAGGAGGGAGGGAGGGAGGAGGATGAGTGCAGGCATGTGGGCTTGTGGTGCAGCGCTCCTCCGGCAGAAAAACAAACCGGTTGTCAACCACATCACGCAGCCGGCCCGGCTTCATTCAAACCCCTCATCTGGACGGCAGCCTGCGAACGTCCACGCAAACATTCCGTCCAAACTCACACGGCAATCCACAAACAGAGGAGATCTACGTGGTGCTCAGACTGGACGGCTTAAAAGCCTGTATTCCAGCCACAACTACAGTCATAAGCATAGTGGTTTACAGCTCCACAGTGGTTTGACAGCTCCTGAGTAAATTGAGTCAGAGAGCAGGGGAAGGTGAGGGGACACACTGGCTGCACAGAGAGAAAAACAGGGCACAATCCCCAAACATCTGGAAATGATCAAGCCTGCAATACTGGAGCACGAGCTGACTTAAGCTACAAGAGAACACAGAGTTCCCGCACATGGACGCACACACGCACACGCTTTTCTGTCTGTGTAGACGGGCTCGGGCGCCCTAACACCTCTAGTTTGTCAACTGAGTTGCCAGTGTATTGGGCACACCTACCTGGTCCCTAATCTCCCTATTTTTGTATATTTCTAGTTGTATATATGACTGTAGGTAGGTTTTTTGTATATATTCTTCTTTTTATATTGTAGCACCCTTATTATTATAACTGTCCTGTGCTGTGTGACTCATACTGGCTGCTAAATTCCTTCAGGATCAATAAAGTAACTATTTATCTATCTATCTATCTATCTATCTATCTATCTAGAGGGAAGAAACAGAAAATGTAACAAAAAACTAAATAAAAGTCCCAAAACCTAAATATAATATCATATTTTCAGGATTCAGAGTGTCCACCTTTTCCGGTTATTACAGCTTATATTCTCATCAGGGGACTCACTTTTTTCAAAGGGATCTTTTTACATGCTTAAAAACCTCCAAAGTTCAGTCGTAGAAGTTGGTTGTGCTTTCTGTTTCTCACAATCCAGGTAATCCCAAACACATTAAACAGTGTTGAGGTACGGGCTCTGGGGTGGCCAGTCCATCGTTCTGAGAACACCAGCAGCTTCTTTTCTTCCTCTTCTTTTCTGTTTATTTCCTTTTCTCAGTGAGGTTCTTCTTAACAGCCACACATCCTTTCAGACCCATAGCGCTGAGTTGTCTTCTCACAGTGGAAGGATGGAGAGAAACACCAGGTGAGAGTAGAGATTGATGTTCTCCTCTCTCTCGAAGACGAAAGCTTTAAATACTGTTTATCTGATGGGGCAGTTTTGGCGTTCTGACCGCTTACACAGTTATCAGGAGTCCAAGCTTCTCTTCACCTTTTGTTATTTTTTTGAACTCCAATTTGGGAAACTCCTGTTAGTTTCCTTCGATTTTCACCTAAAATTATGCAAGTGGATTATTTTATATCTGATCTCCCCAGAAATGTGTTCTAAAAATGAGTAACCAGGGTCAGGGATAGCTACTGAAAAATCAGTAGTTGGAAAAATTAGTAGCTACTTTGTAGCTACTTTCCCAGAAAAAAAGTAGTGGATACTTTTTAGCTACTTTCAAAGCATGACTGTCAGAATGTTTGTGAATCTCCACCTGACACTCCAAACAAGCCCAACTGACAGTGTGAACAAGACACTGCATTTAATCATGAGCCAGAAAGAAACACAACTGAAAAGCTGCAAATCTACAAAAAGATCACCAAAAAGTGAGTTTAATGTAACCAACAGTCAAACTCACACAACCAAACAACTTTGTACAAAGCGTTTTCAACTGTTGAAATAAAACTGCTCTAATTTAAACATTGCAGTAAGATGTGCAGACAGACGCGACATTCAGAGACCGTTAAACTTCAGCAACACTTTAGGCCCAAAATCCTCATCAGTGACTCTGGCTCTGCGCAGGACTGTTAGTAACAGACTACTAGGAAAATGTCATTTCCGCTGTAGCTAAGCCAGGGGGCCAGGGGGCGGCAACACACGGCTCCTTAACCGCCCTGTTACGGCTCCACAGCAGAACTTCGTTTGCTCGAACTGTCCACGGCTCAGTCAGGATTGCACAGTCGCTTTGTAGGCGCTACAGCTATTAGCTACAAAAATGTGTAGTTAGCTACAAAAAGTAACGCGCTACTTAGCTACTCCCCCATCCCTGTGAGTAACATACACATAATTTGACTAAAATGAAATAAATCAAAGGTGGTGAAAGGTTTATAACCTTACAGGGTCACTGATGGGAGCCCATCTCTTACTGCACAATTTGTCTGCAATGCCAATGTACCTTATAAACCTGCACCAGCAGCAACACACAACTAGCACATGGGCAGAGCTGCTGAGATCAGCTCAAAAAAAGGTCAGTACTGGGGCTAACAGTGGCCCCAGGGCCCATAAGTGGTATAAGCAAGGCTCATGAGCCAACAAGGGGCCCTACACATTATTTATGTTCTACTGTTTCATTGTCTTTTTACTCTACCTTTTCTGTAACCAAAATAAATGACATTAATTCTTTTTCACTTTCGTATGTAAATATCGATACTCCATGCGGAATACTTGTGAAACATCTCTATAGTGTAAAGGTTTTTTGCTTTTCTATTCATAATGTTTATATTAATTCCTCATCAATCCCATGTATAATATAAATCAGTACCTCAGGCGCAATTCTGGTAAAATATCCTTACAGTGTACATATTGTTTGCTTCTTTATTTATAATTGTTTATATTGTTGATTTTTGTGAAGGATAGAGTTTATATGTTTTATCTTATTTTTTACCTTTAGTATTACATATATTGTCTATATAGTAACAAGCAACAAACTGTAAATAAGGTTAATTATCTGCTTGTTAATTCTCTTCTGGTTGCTTCTTTTCTTGAGTGTCTTCCTCTCCCTTTGCTACCGTAGCACTGAGAATTTCCCCACTGTGGGTCTAATAAAGGATTTTAAAGGATCTTATCTTATCTTACCTCACCTCATCTAAAATGATCTAAATCTTAAATTATGATTCATGTGGGGATGTCCACTCAGGTGGGACGTCACTTAAGGCCTCCAAAAAATCAAAAATACCCCTGACTGGTCTCTTTCTACTGATGACAGTGCATGTCTATAGTAGGTGTACCTGATAAAATGGCCAACGAGTGTAGATACAATTCAGGTATATCCAATACCAAAATTACTCTGCCAAAATTAATTGTACTAAAATACACATAGGGCCACATTAAACGTGTTCAGAGTACTGATATGATTCATGAACACAAATGTGAACAAACCAATATTTAAACCAATATTTAAAATTTTATTCAAGTATCTGCGCCCTGAGAACTTCAGTAAAACATTTTAGTTCACACAGACCCAGAAGCCGAGTCATGATATTACTTTTTAAGTACAGTATGTATTTTAGAGAATTTGAAATTCAGTATAAATTGAACAATCTGCCACATATACATGGTTTCCCATAATAAAGGACATTCAGAAAGTCTTAGGTAAAGGCTATTTGTCCCAGCTCATCCTCCTCCTACTGAAATCTCTGTAGAAATTCCTGGTAGATTTGTTTCTGTGCAGAGGCAGCAGGAATGAAATGTCCACCCGGGTGAGTAAGGATATGAGCTCCAGGGAACACAGGCAGCAGGTCTCGGCTCATCTGCTCCGGAATAACTTTGTCTTCCTGTCCGAATACGTGCAGGGAAGGCAAAGTGACCTGAAGGTCCTCGTAGAAGTGCTGATGCTGGGCACAGGCACTGCGGAACCCCGCCACCAGGATAGCGAAGCGGAAGTTAAAAGCAGGCTCTAGTTTTCGCTCCTGCAGGGCACATACCATGGCCACAAGGGCGGCACCCTGACTGAAGCCCAAAATGCCATCAAAGGGGCCCATGTCCTTCACCGCCACTCGGAGGGCGTCCAGACTCTCATCTAGACCCAGGCTGCTCTCGCACTCCTGCCTGGCGTCAAAGCTGCGTTCCTGGACATCGGAGAACCACCAGCCCCTCTGATCTTCATCACTCACTTTGGAGGATTTCTCTTGATCTGGAGAGTCTGGTGGAGACAGAGTGCATTAGCAGGCCACAGACACACAGAAAAAAAAACAGAAGCTATTTCCAAAGAACTTCTTGCACAATAAATGCCAAAATTAGGGATGCACCAACATGGAAACACTGGGCCGGTGCCAATGTTCAATATTTCTCATGTGTGTATCTGCTGAGTCTGTAGATATCAGGACTCAATGCACTTCAATCTGCATTACAGAGAAATTGAACATTTGTTTGTAGAGGATTACGAACGCAGTAAACTGAATAACATGTAGGCATTTTAGCACAACAGCCCAGCTTTGCCTGAACCTCTGGAAAACAATAAACTCAATCAAATACCAGTTTGAATTACCAGTCAAATAATAATTGGTCTGAGGCCAATGAAGGTTTTATAACAGTGATCTGATATGGGTTCAATATCACAGCACAAGCTACCTCTTGAAGGTCTTTTAGGAATACTTTATGTACAGAGGGGGCAAGAATGTGTCTGTGTGGAGATGAATAATCTATTACATTGCCTATATCATAAAAACAACAACAAACTCATTTCAAACCATAAGAGTTAAATAAATTAAGAAGTTTATAAACGTATGTTTTACTCTCACGTCCCACGAAGTCTATATATCTAAACTAACCTGTAAAAACAGCCTGTTTCATTCTAATACAGGGGTGTCCAAAGTCCAGCCCCAGGGCCAAATGCGTCCCGGGGACAGATTTTAATCGGCCCCTGGCTTCTGTTTTAGAGTGTGTTATAAGTAGCCCTCCAACCAGTACACTGCACTCCTTCCTTCAACCTGATGGGGGCGGCAGTGCTGTAAGATTACAGTGCAACGCTGCACTGCGGTAATGAAGTTAGCTAAAGACTTTCTTCTCTGACTGACCTGCAGCTTCATTAACTGACCACATTTAGTCCAGACAGCAGCCATAAAGCTTAAACTAACACTGAGAGCCACAGATTCTGATGGAAATTGGAACTTTTTCATCGAAAGCCTCAGAAAATGAGCCTCAGGAGAGAAACTAAAGCACCAAACTCTTTTCAGAGCAAATTCAAATTCAGCTCAGTAAATATTAACCCTTTAATCGTGGCGATTATGCTGTTTAATCTGCTCTTCTTGTTTAATAAAGTAATTTGCTTTTGCATTTATGATGTAACAAAACCAAAAATGTACTGATTTTTACCTATATTTATTTAGCCTGAACAAATAAACACCAGAATAGGAAAATGTATAGGTTACACACGTGGTGCTGTCACTCTTAAATAATTTAATAACTCGTTATAAGCGCCGACTGATCCGAATCCAATCCAACAATGAGAGAAGCCTTGTGCATCTTGTATACAGTGATAGGAAACACGGCGTCTATGCGCTATTTTTTGAAAGTTAATAATCTGTAAATGATGTTTTGGCCCTCAGATATTTTTACACTGTATAATTTGGCCCTCTTTACAAAAGAATGTGTCTGTGTGGAGATGAATAATCTATTACATTGTCTATATCATAAAAAACAACAACAAACTAATTTAAAACCATAAAAATGAAATAAATTAGGAAGTTTATAAACGTATGTTTTACTCTCCCGTCCCACGAAGTCTATATCTCTAAACTGACCTGTAAAAACAGCCTGTTTCATTCTAATGCAAAGTCCAAAGTCCAGATATTTTTACACTGTATGATTCGGCCCTCTTTACGAAAGGTTTGGACGCCCCTGTCCTAAAAGATAAACAGAGATTTGAAAACGGTAACGTACGAACGAATCATGTCTGTTTCTAGTAAATAAGTGATAAGAATAATGAGCTCAGGGAGGAGCATCACCAAATGACCGTAAGATACGGTTTGATCAGAAAATTACAAGAAAGGAAGCTGATTGGAATCTATACAACTGTAACACACAGTTTTGGTAAGGTGGCTCAGTTTCGACCCCCTTACTACTCAAAATTACGGAGCCCCGCTGGTGACTTCCTGTATAAATAAAAATAATGCGTGGCCACACCTTATTAACGCGTGGGAACGAGATCCTAATGCATGGCCACGACTTAGTAAGGCGTGGAAACGAGATCACGGCTTACTAAGTCCTGGCCACGCATTAGGATCTCATTCCCACGCTTTACTAAGTCGTGGCCATGATTTAATCATCTCGTTCCCACGCTTTACTAAGTCGTGGCCACGCATTATTTTTATTTATACAGGAAGTCACCAGCAGGGCTCCGTACAAAACGTACAGAAACCTTTTGGGGTTTTTTTGGGGGGAAGGGGGGGGGGTACTGAAACCATCACTCTGTCTGTTCTGTTGACTTTACTTCTTCCAGCTGTGCCCACAGCTGCTGTCCGCTGTCTCAGGTTAAATCAGAGGACCTGACTTTACTGAATTCTGCTCTAGTTAATGACCGTGCGGCGCTGTTCCCTCCACTGGCTGACCGAGTTACGCACTGTGAGCGGGGGGGACCCGGTGCGGCGCGTCCAGGAACACCAGCTCTCCGTGTTTTCGGAGCAGCTTCCGCAGAGCTCCGGTCTTCTCCCGGAACGAGCCGGCGCTCTGCCGGTAACCGTGAACACAGAGGATCCGCAGCGGAGCCATGCGCGACCTACGGACACGGAGCCGCCTCAACACCCGGGATGTAGTTTATAAGCTGCGCACGACTCTCAGTCAAAACGCCGCCCGACAAACCGAGGAAACCCCGGAAAAACGATCCGTACAACTGTCGGAAAAATGACAGAACCCAGAAAAACTACCCCCACTTCCGACATGCACGACTCCTAACCGGAGCCGTGTTGAAACATCGCGAATATAAGGTTCCGCCTGCGGAGCCCGCAGAGCATACGTAGGCGATACGTCTGCGCGTCCGCCATGTTGGAGCGGTCAAGATCCGCTTGTGAACAGATTCACTTGTACTGAGAGACGAAGAGTCTCAGGATTAAATCAGCCACAACTTCCTTATTACTCAACCGATTTTCACCAAATCTGTTTAGTTATAATCCTCAGACACAGATTAAGGCCCTAATAAAATACAAATTAGATATACTGTATGTTCTGGTAGTGGAATGTACGGTACATCTAACCCATATCTATATCTATATCTGATGTTAAATAACGTTCTGAAGTTTATATTTTTTTAAAAGTAGCTATTATTTGCGACACATACTTACATATTTACTAATAGAGAGGAGCTTCTTCAGTGTGATTTCCTGGGTGCAGAAGAAAAAAAAACACAATAGAGAGGAAAGCAAAAGCTAACTACATTTTTAGTCAGAATAGAGCGCTGAACAGGCTCTGCAGACCATACATAACACTAGTGTTAATGTTAGTGTAGACTGCTTCAGTGTAGCATTAATTTCCCAAGGTCCTTCTCTTAAAATGCAGTGGCATCACAGTACTTATTACTTCGTGGAAAAAGTAATGTTTACTTTAGTAATCATTACTTTTACATTACTGTGTAAAATTAGACATATGTTTCAAGCATATTTCATGCCAGTTACCTGACAACAAAGTGATGTACACCGATCAGGCATAACATTCTGACCACCTCCTTGTTTCTACGCTCATTGTCCATTTTATCAGCTCCACTTACTATATAGGTGCACTTTGTAGTTCTACAGTTACAGATTGTAGTCCATCTGTTTCTCTGATACTTTGTTAGCCCACTTTTACCCTGTTCTTCAGTGGTCAGGACCCCCATGGACCCTCACAGAGCAGGTACTATTTGGGTGGTGGGTCATTCTCAGCTGGAGTTTTTAAACACCTCAGTGTCACTGCTGGACTGAGAATAGTCCACCAACCAAAAAATATCCAGCCAACAGCGTCCTGTGGGCAGCGTCCTGTGACCACTGATGAAGGACTAGAGGATGACCAACACAAACTGTGCAGCAGCAGATGAGCTATCGTCTCTGACTTTACATCTACAAGGTGGACTGACAAGGTAGGACTGTCTAATAGAGTGGACAGTGAGTGGATGATCGGTTGTTCCTGAACAAGTGTGTGCTGCCCAGCCAAATTCTGTATGTCATATTTTAGGATTCTGGTTGACTTTGTGTAGTTTGACGAGTTGTATTTCATGCAGATCGGTCCAGAAATTGAGAAGAACTTTAGCCAACGTGAATTGAAAACTATAAATACAGAAGACTACAACATCTTGACAGTCGAGCGGATCTAGTGATTCTGTGGCTTTAGACAAGAGACAAAAATGCGGACGCCTGGAATGTGATGCAACTGTCTACACTGCAAAAAATAGACATTTAATTAAGTGTAATTATCCCACTGTATTAGCAGGTATTTTTTCATGTTTTAAGAAATATGTCTGAGGGTAAATTATCTGCCAGTGTAAGGAGATAATCTGGTGCAGAGTAACAAAGATGTGAAGTAAAGAACATTTTTTAATTTCCTTTGTTTTTCAGGAAGTAATAAGGAAGGTAATCCCAGGACAGTTTGAGAGAAGTAATTATTTACTTGTAATGGATTACTTTTTTGAGTAATTACCCCGAAACTGGAGCTATCTACACTGACATTAACGCTAGCATTATGTACAGCTGCTGAACCTGTGCAGCTCTCAGTTCTGATTGTATTTTGTCATTTAACACTGATAATGGAATAAATAACCCTCTCAGCATTAAACAGATCTATGAGGTAAACGCCAGTTAACGATGAATTAACGTTGATATAGGGATGTTTTATGGTTGAAGAAAGACATTTTGTTTTGTTTAAAACTGGTTTATATGTATAGAAATTTTCATATGGAATATTCACACAACTCAAAATAGAAATTTGTGATGACATACCTGTGTGTTGACAGAACGTTACAAAATAAGATTTAAAAATAAGTATATATATATATATATATATATATATATAAATTAACCTGGCCACTTTCCTGGAGGATCTGGAGCAGTCTGGCTCCGCCAATGGAGGAGCTTGAGAAGTCTGACTCCTCCCACAGAAGAGCTGGAGCAGTCTGACTCTGCCCCTAGAGGAGCTGGAGCAGTCTGACTCCACCCACAGAACAGCTGGAGCAGTCTGACTCCGCCCACAGAACAGCTGGAGCAGTCTGGCTCCGCCCACCGAAGAGCTGGAGCAGTCTGACTCCGCCCACAGAACAGCTGGAGCAGTCTGACTCCGCCCACAGAAGAGCTGGAGCAGTCTGACTCCGCTCACAGAAGAGCTGTTGCAGTCTGACTCCGCCCATAGAAGAGCTGGAGCAGTCTGACTCCACCTACAGAAGGGCTGGAGCAGTCTGACTCCACCTACAGAAGAGCTGGAGCAGTCTGACTCCACCCACAGAGGAGCTGGAGCAGTCTGACTCCACCCACAGAAGAGCTGGAGCAGTCTGACTCCACCCACAGAAGAGCTGGAGCAGTCTGACTCCACCTACAGAGGAGCTGGAGCAGTCTGACTCCGCCCACAGAACAGCTGGAGCAGTCTGACTCTGCCTACGGAGAAGCTGGAGCAGTCTGACTCCGCCCACAGAAGAGCTGGAGCAGTCTGACTCCGCTCACAGAAGAGCTGTTGCAGTCTGACTCCGCCCACAGAAGAGCTGGAGCAGTCTGACTCCACCCACAGAAGGGCTGGAGCAGTCTGACTCCACCTACAGAAGAGCTGGAGCAGTCTGACTCCACCCACAGAGGAGCTGGAGCAGTCTGACTCCACCCACAGAAGAGCTGGAGCAGTCTGACTCTGCCCACAGAAGAGCTGGAGCAGTCTGACTCCGCCTACAGAAGAGCTGGAGCAGTCTGACTCCACCTACAGAAGAGCTGGAGCAGTCTGACTCCGCCCACAGAGGAGCTGGAGCAGTCTGACTCCGCCCACAGAAGAGCTGGAGCAGTCTGACTCCACCTACAGAAGAGCTGGAGCAGTCTGGCTCCGCCCACAGAGGAGCTGGAGCAGTCTGACTCCACCTACAGAAGAGCTGGAGCAGTCTGACTCCACCTACAGAGGAGCTGGAGCAGTCTTTTTACTGACAAGATCAAGTGGAACAGGTCCTGCTTCACGGGTCAAACTCTGCATTTAAATGGTGGGTAATGAGTAACATTGCTAGCTAGTAATTGACTTGAGCTCTACACACATCTGCAGCTGTATCTCTGGGCCAGTCTGAGAGGTAAAGTCGTTAGCATTAGCTAATGATTTGTAAAAAAGCGCCAGTCAGCTGTTTTCACTAGGAGAACCTATTTTAATCTGCTTTAATTCAGTCCCATTAAAAGTGTTCTGATCTAGAAGGCGGTGAAATGGTGAGCGACGTGTTGAATCTGTATGGTCGTCTTCTCTCCTTGCTGGATGGGGAAAAGAATAAGAAGAGAATATCAGACTGGAATGTTTGTCTGTACTGATGTCAAAAATGAGATGTCTGTTTTTAATAAGAGTCAGTATAAATGTGAAAAATGAGCGCGTTTTCCTTTTAACAGATGTCAGTGCAGCGTTTTGATGACCACATTAATGCCTTCTGCCTTTAACGGGTAACAGATGTCTTCGCAGTGATTTGTGTGATTTGGGAGATGATTTTCATGGATGACAGAATGTTTATTGTAACTTAACGCAACTTTGTGAAGTGAAATGGGATCAACACAGCAGTGCAGTTCATGAAGGAAGAGGCAGTGTTTGAAATTGTGGTGAACTGAAATATGAAGGATTTAAATTGGGTGGTCCAATTGTTTACTCCAGTGGAGTTTATCCAACACCAACACGAGTGTAGAGTAAATTCTACAGTGCGCAGTGTGGAGTAGAGTCGATGTTCAACTGTATAAAGTGTGTGATTTTCTCAGGTTTAGTGTTAAAAATGTGTAAGAGCTATTTAACACTGGAGAGTGTGGACAGATTTAACTCTATCAGAGTTCATTCAACACGAGTGATGCTGCTGTGTAGATTAAAGCAAATGCAGCAGCGCCTCCCGCAGGTTCTAGTGGCCTGTGTTCACTGTAAAATTTCAAGTCAAGAGGCTTTTATTGTCATTCCATCTGTGTACAAATACACAGTGGAGCGAAATGACATCCTCCAG